ATGGGTCTTTTTTCTATACACAGTGTGACCTACGGTGTTATTAGGATTTCGAATGACTAACACATCTAGGAAAGCTAAAGAATTATTTGCCTCTAACTCCATAGTAAATTGAATTTTAGAGTTTATGGAATTAAGATGTTCTAAAAATGCAGTTACTTTGTCTGATGGTAAAATTGTGAAAGTATCGTCTACGTACCGCTTGTAGAAACTTGGAGTTACTGGTGCAGTAAGCAGGGCTTTCTCCTCAAAGTCCTCCATGAAAATATCGGCGACAATGGGAGATACCGGTGAGCCCATCGCAACACCATCTACTTGCTTGTAAAACTGTTCCTTCCACAATAGGTAGCCAGATGTAAGGCAATGTCTGAGTAATACTGCATATTCTGCTGGCATGTTATTTTCCTCTAGTTTCCTAGTTATAATTGAGATGCAGTCTTCAACAGGTAGGCATGTAAATAGAGACTGAACATCAAAACTGACCATAGTTTCATTGTCAGTAAGACATAGGTCTTTTATCTCACTGACAAAAGGGTATGAATCCTTAGTGTGTGCTCTTGTATGTCCTCTGAGTGGTGATAGTACTTTTGCTAAGTGTTGAGCCAATCTGTAAGTTGGCGAATCGATCTGACTCACTATTGGACGTAATGGAGCGTTCGGTTTGTGTATTTTTGGTAACCCATACAACTTCGGCGGTTTGGCACACGTAGGTATTATCGAATTTACGTCTAGATTCAGTTTCTCGGAATATTTCTTTATTAGATCGCTAGTTGTTTTAAGCGTATTAGTTGTAGGATCTGTTTTGACCTTTACGTACGTACTTTCATCCGATAAAAGTTGTTGTATTTTAAAATTGTAATCCGAAAAATTGTAACTTTGACATCGGGACGTCAATCACCTCAGTCCCCCGTGACCACGGTTGCTGGAAAGCAACCGAAACGTCGGGAATATAAAAATAAGTAAATTAAACGCGATATAATCCGTAAAAATAGTAAAGTAAATAGTAAAGTGCAATATTCCTCTACAAGATGCAGGAGTATACAAGCTTGATTGTGAGTGTGGTCTCTCATATATAGGGCAAACAAAACGATCAATAAAAACCCGCGTAAAAGAACACATAGCTGACGTGAAGCACCAACGTTCCGGGAAGTCTGCAGTTTGTGATCATATCCTAGACGGCCCCCGTCATTACATTAGATTTGATAAACCACAAGTCCTCGCGAAAGAACATCGATTCCTGCCAAGGATGATACGTGAGGCTATTGAAATTAAAAAACATCCTAATTTCAATAGAGAGGGAGGCTGGGTACTACCACCTGCTTGGGATCCTGTAATTCATAAAATTAAAACTAAACCCAAGCATACCACTGTAAGACTTCAAGACACAGTTAGTTCATTCTGCGTAGATCGGACCAAAATTAATAATTAAAAAGCTGAAGGTACTTCACTTCAGCTTAATAATCTGTTGGGCTATGTCGGTCAGTCTGGTTTTACTGCGGATATCCTGATTTCTAAGTTTATCACGCAGAGAAACTCCGAGCATAGCCCTCTTTATAGCTCGCTGAGCAACCTTGAGGTTCCATATCCGGCCAGCAGTGAAGGACCACGTCTCAGTTCCATAGGTCATCACTGGCAACACGCACTGGTTGTACTGGTTGTACATACGACATTATGCTATGGAAATAGCTAAAGTAAACAAGTCTAGCTGTTTCCACATTAGTAAGATTTCTAATCTTTTATACAGCATATGCTGCAGAACTAAGTCTGCTAGCTAATTTTGATATATGGGGTGATAATACTCAGGCTGTATTCTTGATATCAATAGCTTTAAAGGGGGCAGTCTTGCCGGAAGATCCAAGCGTTGTTGCTGATGTGGTGGTACTTTAGGGTATGGAACTTTTTATTCCATCCTCTGTGGTGCCAATCGGAGGTAGATCCCAGCCATAGTTTGGTCGCTCCTGTAAAATAGTATCACGCTATAAGCAGGAGTGCTACCGGGCCTGGGCTGACGCATCAACGTTTTGGGATGTAAACATCAGCGCTCTTAAAAAGAAGTATAATTCCGTCTCTACGTCCTTCAAAACAGTCATTGCTAAGGCAATGTCTGAGTCCGATCTTTTAGGCTCTTTCTTTGCGTCCAACTCGACTCTAGATGACGGGGGGAACACACCGCCGACCATCTCGCGGTGTGTGCTCCATGCCGGATGTGCGGTTTACACAACGCTCGGTTCGCAAAGCACTCTTCTCCCTTGACGTCAGCAAGTCGGGTGGGCCTGATGGAGTCCCTCCCATTGTGCTGAAAACGTGTGCTCCGTAGTCGGCACCGATTTTAACGCGACTTTTCCGGTACTCCTACTCCAAAGGCGTAGTCCCGAATTCATGGAAGACAGCTTTGGTGCACCCGATCCCTAAAAAAGGCGACCGCTCAGACCCGTCCAACTACAGTCCTATCGCCATCACCTCCTTCTCCAAAATAATGGAGTCTATTGTAAACTGTCAGTTCATGAGGTACCTTGAGGATCACCAGCTGATTAGTGACCGCCAATACGGTTTTCGTCGGGGTCGATCAGCTGGTGATCTTCTGGTCTACCTGACTCATAGATGGGCGGAGACAGTAGAGTCCAAGGGGGAGGCATTGGCCATTAGTTTGGACATAGCAAAGGCCTTCGATCGGCTCTGGCACAAAGCGCTTCTTTTGAAGCTCCCTTCCTATGGGCTTCCCGAGAAATTGTGCAATTGGATCACCAGTTTCCTTGCTGATCGGAACATCAAAGTCGTAGTAGACGGTGCATGCTCTGATTACAAGCCTACTAACGCTGGAGTTCCACAAGGCTGCGTGCTATCACCAACGCTGTTTCTTTTGCATATCAACGATATGTTGCAAGCTGGTAACATTCTTTGCTATGCAGACGATAGCACTGGTGATGCCTTATACACCGGCCGTGCCAATATTTGTCGGGAAAACGTCGCCGAGTACCAGGACAAACTTGTGTCTGATGTCGAGTCTTTGCTGAACAAAGTCCCGGATTAGGGGCGACTAAATCTAGTACAGTTCAATCCCCAGAAGACACAAGTTTGCGCGTTTACCGCTAAAAAGAACCCCTTTATCGTATCTCCTCAGTTTCAAGACACTACCCTTGCTGCCTCAGCTAGGATCGGAATCCTCGGCGTCGACATATCGAATAGTGTGCAATTTCGTGGTCACTTGGAAGGGAAGGCCAAATTGGCCTCTAAAAAAGCTTGGCGTACATCGCTTGCAACTTTACAAAGCGCAAGTTCGGCCTCACCAGTGCCAGCTCCTTCCACTTGACCGCATCCAGCGCAGAGCGGTTCGAATCGTCGACGACTGAGTTCTTTCTGATCGGCTCGATACACTGGCGCTGCGCAGGGATGTGCATCCCTTTGCATTTTCTATCGAATCTACCACGGGGAGTGCTCTGAGGAATTGTTCGGATTAATTCCAGACGCCAAATTTCACGATACCATCCTCACCATCTGGATGTTTGGCGGTGCAGGACTGTGTGTTTTACTAGTCTTCTTCCTCGTACAACTTCTCTGTGGAATCGTTTACCACCGGTGATTTTTCCGGACTGATACGGCTTAGGGGCCTTCAAGAAAAGAGCTTACACCTTTCTAAAAGGTCGGCAACGCATCTGCAATTCCCCTGGTGTTGCGGTTGTTCATGGGCGGCGGTAGTCACTTACCATAAGATGAGCCGCAGGCTCGTTTGCCCCCTCTTCTATAAAAAAAATAACAATGAGGAAGAGATTTAAAGTAAGGGAAAGCTTTGGAAAGTCTGCTGTATACTAATTCTGTTTTTGTTAATGTGTATGTGTTAACAAAAATAGCCATAGCTCTCTCAATACAGGTCTGCACGCCTAGTGTGAGAACCACTGCTAAATTATTTGTAAAGGTGCTAACTGTCAAATAAAGTAATTTCATTTTTCATTTCATTTTGCCCGGGCATTATAAAGAAGCCCTAATTAATCACTTGTTCCATAACATATACATAATCCTTTGTACATATTAAATACTGGCGAAATTAAGGGTCATATGGATTGAAATAATTACACAATAATATAATATGCTTCAACTACAATATATTAGCAATATTTATACATGTTTAAATCTATGATACAGTATTTTGGTAAATCCTTTGGTTTTGTGATTAAAATAAATCAATAACTAGGAATGTTACAATTATAACGGAATGTAAAGATCTAGATAATATTATTAGACACATCAAAACAACATTAATACATATTATAATACAGATTAAAGTTAAAAATAAACAAAGTTTATAGTGGCCCCTCACTAGATGGAGTGACAATCTGGTAAGAGATACAGGTGATGATGATGATGATGATGATGATATTACAGGTTTAAAATTTTTCATTATCAATAGAGTAAAAGGTTTGCAGTGCTATCTTTATACAGTAATTGCTTCATTTAAAATAAACATGATTTTTTAAATTCTATAATTTAAATAAAATGTTTAGTTATTATCAAATAACAGATAACTAATTAGGCCAATTATAACTTCCAGTGATATGAAATTTATAAATAAATAGTTGTCCTCTATAGTACTTTATGCTTCATTAAAGAGAGCTGTTGATTTTTTAATTTAAATTTGTTTCATATCATCTCAAGTCCTTAAAAGCTAACTCTTGATAGACACCATTTACCATTAGGTGGAATCATAATCAAGCACTAGCACTTAAAAGGAAATAGCTAAAGCCTAAAATATATAATTTTAGATATAAATCTGTTACCTAAGATATAGCTTATTAGCTCAGCTAATATTTGCAAAATACACATCACAGGTTGCACATAATATTTTGATGAAAAAACCAACAATGTCAACATAATCACTATTCAATAAAATCTTACCTAATATCTAAGTACAGTGGACTAGAATATTTAATTACAGATCTACAAATTATAAATGCACAGTTGAAGTGTAGAGCTTTGTAAAGATTGTGTAAAAAAGTGTACTCTTACAATTACATAAATACATCTTTGATATTTTGAAATTGTTTAACAGCTAGATCAACTGGCAAGTCAAAGTTGTAGGGTGTAAGACGGTCTAGACTTTGCAAGGCATCTTGGAACCCAGTGTTTACAACATAGCTAGTTGAGGAATAATATGTATCAATCAATGATCTACATTTCAACATAGTATTCAGCCATTGAACAAGCTTGTGGGTGTTTAAGGCAGCACAAACAAATGCCTTAAAGTGTGCATCGTAACTCCGTTTGTATGGTGCATGTGATGACAAAATACTGCCTATTGTACTTAACAAACTTTGTTTATTTGTTATTGCTGTTCCTCCAACTATATCTAAGTTAAAGCTTTGGCTTAATTTCCTAGCTGGAGTAGAGTTAAATCTGTCCCCATCATTCAGTTCATAATAACGCAAAATTAGCTCCCAAACATGTATCGAATGGGACATGGAAGATCTACGAACGTGGAAGCAGCCTATAATTGGTACAAGGGATGTTGATTCAGGTCCAACTAGACCATGCTGCAGTAAATCTCGTAAGTTAACAGCTAAATGCCTTCGAACTGCTGTTGTTAGTGGGGCATCATTGATGATTATAGCACCTTCTTCAGAATCACTGTCATAACTGTCAATGATAGAGTTTGATTGTCGGTCTCGGGATACCAAATGTAATACTGCATCAATTGACATTTCGAGCTTGGCTCTAAGGTTGCCCCAATGAGTTACAACTGGAGATGAATTCTTATACTTCTTTTTTGTATTTGGAGAGCAACCAAATTGTGATACTGTAAAAATTTGAATTAATGTCGATGCTTTTCTCATAAGATTTATAGTTTCTGCCTTTAACTCGTCATTTACTTTATTACGAGGATAATTCTTATCAAATGACTCTGACTTTCTCACTTTCTTTGTTTCCAGATTTGTTTTTCCATTATTTGTCAAATCATCATTTTTTACCAATTTTATAAACTTCTGCATATCTTCTATATGCGTTTGTAACTTACCAATAATTTCTTCTTTTGATAATTGCCTGTCAGTATACTGTCGGACAGCACAATTGATCTGGTGTCGCAATTCCTCGGCACTTAAAGGTTGATGGCAGCCTTCTTCCAGACTGCGATCAATTTCACTTCTCAAATGTTCTATCAGTGTCCTGTGTGTGCTGTCTCCTGACTCTGAATTGGGATCTGCAGCAAACCTTTCTAATTCCTTCAATTGTGACTTAAGTCTTTCTATGAAATGAGATTGACGAGCGCGCTGCCTTTTCATTTTTCTTTCTAATTCCACACACTCGTTACAAGTTGTCTCGCCAGAGCTCCCTTGAGGTGCGCTCCTTGAATCTGGGACACCACGAGACGTAAACTCTTCAAGTTCTTTAAGCATGGCATCTTTTTCTTCCGGTGGCGCTTTCAGAATCTGTCGTAAGCGAAATTCAACCTGAGCGAGGTGCGATGTGAGTGAGAAGACGGATGATGATAATATTTCTTGCTCCTCTTCAAGGGCATGTATTCGATCACCAGACACATGTTCTGGTGTATTTTCATCGCAGAGGTTTTCCTTTGGAGCCCCAAGTGGCTCACATCGGGGCTCTTGCCAAATGGGTATTTCACTTTCATAATCACAAGCTTCGTCCATTTTTGCGAGCTTTATGTCTAAATTACGAATTAACTAAAGTCTTTATGGTTGTGATTAAGCATTTTGTTTTGTCATTATCATTGATTTTAACAAAATAAAACTGAAAACACTGAAAACTAAGTCTATGAAAACTAAGGAAAAACTGAATGAATGGAACTTGGCAAAGACGTCACCCTGCGTCACTCGTTGAAGTCGTTGACGTCAGTAATTGATTTGCGATTGACGATTGACAAATGAACGAACGAAACGTATGAAAACAATAAAAATGATGAAATGCCTAAATATTTATAATATAAAACAATATTATTTAATATTTATAGATTATAGATAAAAAGTACATTGGTATAATATTTTGTATACATTATAATAAAATAGTTATTAAACATTAAGATAGCGTATAGCGACATCTATGATTGATCCTAGAAACTGGCACAAATTGTGTGCAACAAAAAGCATGAAATAAGTTGTTTTTGTAGCATTAGTACTAGATGGCAAACAATTAAAAATATGCTTGAAAAATGATAATTATCTTTATGTTCCAAATCGTGTACTTATTACCTAAGCTAAAGCTAAGAGAAGAGGAGAAGTCTTATTTGCTAGCCTAAGGTGGAAAGTCAGCTGCTTCGAGTAGGTTCGCCCATTCTTTTGGATCTGTAACCGCCCCTATATGCGGATGTGGAGTCGCCAGTTAATTTGTGTCGCTAGGGAGAGGAGTTTTTGTTTCATGACGCGCCTCTTGCTTTGTTCTTCGCTGCTCTAACACGTCCATATTATAATATGCAAACATCTGTGGCTTTGACGGTAGTCAGTCGTCGATGCAGTCGTGATGACGCAGCTGGATTGGGACATGAGGTTTGGTGGGTAGCAGCAGCTTTGATATTAAATCGGTTATTGTGTAAACATAAATATAAAAGTTGCCACGCCACTGTTTAAAATTCTACAATAGGTATTATTAGTTACATTTTTATAATTTCAGTCGCACGTTTCAATTTACGAATGCTTTTATGCCATAAAGTCGTTAAATGGGTCACGGACGAGGCCCGATCTTATTCGAGATTTTATGGGCCATTACGAGTTATGAAGATTGTGTCGCCCTTGGCAATGTCGCTTTAAAGTGAAGGTCCTAGATTTTACGTGTATTTTACTCATGATATGAACATTAAACACGGCAAATGAACGACACTATCGCGCATGTATTAAATGTAAGTACTTTACAGCACCCATAGGCCCCCCTCGACTATAGATGGTGTAAAGTACTCGATACATCATGAATATAAAATATAAAGTAAGTTATAAAACGCGGTAAAATCGGCAAAACTAGGTTCACTCAATGTGCAGTGTTCGTTGTATTGTAAACTGCCGCAACATTGCCTTTCATGCTTAACTTTGCCTAAAACGAAAATATCCTCATAACTGTCATTTTTTACATCTGCAAAACGAAACCATAGTGATTTGAAAGATTATGAAACTAGCAACCCAAAACTGAAGCGGTCATATTTTAAAACCTCATGCAGTTCACGTCATTAGCGATTGAACAACATCTGTCATTTTTGGCGCTAGAAACTTTTGATATAAGTTGATCATTAATACTTCTATGTGATTATTTTACTGAATACTTAAAAAAATTACATTTCTTTATAAAATTTAATATTGCACGTCTCATAACGCGAAATGTTATAGGTGTGTTTTACTCTCGACACGTCAAGGTCAAGCAATTTTGTGTTCTTAAAATACTTACCTCTATCATAACTAAATTGCACTTATACGATAATATGAGTAGCCGTATATCAAGAGAACACTCTAATTAATCCATCTTATATTTTCTAAATAATCATTTTATATTGCTACTTTTAAAATAAAGGAACGGTTTGAAAAATATTTACGTGGACGTCCGGATGTTGATTCCGCCTTAATTTATATCAAATATTGTTGTATATGTATATATATATATATATATATATATATATATATATATATATATATATATATATATATACATATATTATATATATATACATATACATATACATATATATATATATATATATAAAGCTTTATACATATTTAAAAGTTAATGAAACTTTACAGCATCCAAGGTCACGGGGAGGAACTACGGCTACCTCCAGATTAAAATTATTAATTTTCGTTCCGATCACCGTTCTATAAAAATTAATAATTTTGATCTGTAGGTAGCCATGGTTAACTATGACCTCAGTCTCCATTCGGATTATTTAATGTACTTTGTGGTCTCCCCCATGACCAAGAGTGCTGTAAAGTGCTCGAAACGTCGGGAATATAAAATAAGTTGTAATACGCGATAAAAACCCATAAAATTAGTTTTATTTAAATGTGCAGTGTTCGCGTAAATTAAGAAATCATTATAATTGTAATTACTTTTGGTTTGGTATTCAAAGAAAACGGCACATATTATGCGAGGAAAGATTTTTTTACTTTTTTATGATAATTTAATAGCAAGTACCTAAAAGTGTCAATCCACTGTAGATAACCTTAATTTAAAACTGTAGCACTAAAGTTTAAGGTAGGTACATTTATGTACCTGTCAAGTTGAAAATAATTTTAATGTTTTTATTTCCCATAAGACATCAGCATCAGGCAATGTTAGGGATAATGATCCTATCTTTGCCTGCTTACTAAATCGACTATAGCCTGAGTTTCTGCAAAAATTCATTGTGAGTCTAAGCACTATAAACAAGATCCTAACTTTAAGTTTATTTATTTCTTATGCAATAGATTTCAATATTTTCAAGTAAATTTTGATATATATATAGGTAAAAAAGGTTTCGAAATTAAGGCAAAGTTGTGGCAGTTTACGGTAAACATAAGAAATCATCTTCTTGTTAGGTTATCTTCTCTTAAAAGCTTTTTCCCTTCAGCGGTGCCAAGGTGATTGTCGGTACATCGAAGTGCTGAAGTGTTTGTACAGTAGGGGTACGATAGCTATCCGAGTACAGAACCAGAGTACGAAACTTTTCAAACTGCAGAGAAGTATAAGACAGGGTGTCGTTATATCCCCGAAACTCTTCACCGCTGCATTAGAGGATGTTTGCAAGCTACTGGACTGGAAAGGATACGGTATTAACATCAATGGCGAGTACGTCTCTCACCTTCGATTTGCCGACGATATAGTCCTTATGGCAGAAACGCTGGAGGACCTAAACACTATGCTTAATGACCTCAATCGTGCCTCCCATCGTATAGGTCTTATGATGAACATGGACAAAATAAAGATCATGTATAACGCCCATGTCACACCTATGCCGGTAGTTGTTGGGAGCACTAAGCTCGAAGTTATTGACGAGTATGCTTACCTGGGACAAATAGTCCGACTAGGTAAATCCTACTTCGACCGAGAGGTCAATCGATAGAATCAACTCGGCTGGGCAGCGTTCGGGAAATTACGGCACATCTTCTCGTCAGGTATACCTCAAAACTTGGAAACAACTCTGTACAACCAGTGTGTGTTGCCAGTGATGACTTATGGATCTAAGACAGGTCCTTCACTGCTGGCCGTATGAGGAAGCTCAAGGTCGCTAAGTGAGCTATGGAAAGTGCTCGGGGTTTCTCTGCCTGATAAACTTAGAAATGAGGATCTGCAGTAGAACTAGAGTAAACAACATAGCCTAACGGATTAGTAAGCTGAAGTGGCAATGGGCCGGCCATGTAGCTTGAAGAACCGACAACGGATGGGGAAAAAGGGTTCTTGAGTGGCGGCCTCGTACCGGCGGCGAAGTGTAGGACGACCCTCCCCACTAGATGGAGTTACAACCTGGTAAGACATGCAGGAGGTCGATGTATGCAGGTGGTTCAATACCGTGCTTTGTGGCATTCCTTGGAGGAGGCCTATGTTCAGCAGTGGACTTGTGGAGGGCTGTAATGACGATGATGATAATTTTTCTGTACGTGTCACTGAACTCCTCTAAAACGGCTGAACCGATTTTGATGACATTTTTGTGTGTGTTTGACCCGGTAGTGTTGTTGTGGTCCAAAAATCACACGTGCGAAGCCGGGGTGACCTCTAGTTTATAATATATTAAACAAGAAGCTTGCTCCGGCATGCAATTCTAGCTGGTTAACTACCGGGGATTGTGACTTACATCGGCTGACAATGGACTTAGGACTTTAGTCTCGTTTGTGACACTCAAAACTCGATCCTTTGAGAGCGAAACTTCTAGAATGGCGTCGCATCCACAAACTTGGCCTTTTGTTAACTTTGACTAGAATTGTTTTCGTCTCGTTAGTACTGATATCGAGGGATCGGTGACAGAAAACTTAGTTATTTGTTCGCCTGTTTCCTATCTCACTGGTTGTAATATAAAATAATGAGAATATTTATAGAAATTATCATCTTAAAAAAGCCAACTTTTGAACATAGGTCGCCCCCATACATTGACCTCTTTGAGAGGATATTTGCGATACTTGTTATACTTGGCAGGTCTGTCAGCATCTGCATTATTTTATTATTAAGTCATATTATTTATTCTGTGGTATAGTATAGTATATTACGCCGCCACTATACGGCAAACAAACAATGGATATAAATAAATTTAAAATTAAATCTGCAGCTATGATTTGTTGTCGTGTAGTAGACGTATAACTAGGGTTGCCACCCGTACTGTAATATATACGAGTACTATCGTACTATATTTCAGTCAACTGTACTATACTATTATAGAAAAATAATATAGTGTGAAAAATACTATAGTTTTTTCCCTAATACAATTATCGCGATTTTTTTATATTAACTGTGACTGGAAGTCTGGAACAAGTAAGTTTTACGGAAAGATTTTTTTAAGTCATGAATATTAAATGGAAATAGATAATGAATTTAATTAAAAATGAATGGTTAATTTATTTTAATATGAATCTAAATTGCTCAGTTTCCTATAATTATTTTAAAGATTGACTGCCAAATCGAAGAGCAATAACAAATGTATATAGAAAAATGCATAAAGATTAAAAATAAATGTGTATTTTTTTCC